AGTTCTGGTTGACCGCGTCTGGCCATGAATCGCTGCAATGCATTAAGAAAGGAGTCGGTCTCCATAGAATGCAGAACTTTGATGTGAACTGCTCTAATCGCCAAACAGGTAAAGATACAGCCGTATCTTTTCACTTGACTTCGGCCTTGCTTGACCAAAAATGGCCCAAAACAGTCTATTCCGACGTAGTTGAATGGCGGTTTCTCAAGGGTTACTCGGTCTTCAGGTAGATTGGCCATCTTCTGAATGCTGGGTGAAGCTAATCGGCGTTTGCACACAAACAATCATGCAACACCTGTCGTACTGTGGTTCTTCCTCCGTATCACCCAGTACCGCTGTCTCATCAATGACATAACATGCTCTCTCCCTGAGTGACCTGATACAGCATGAAAGTGTCTCACCAATAGCTTGACAATGTGATTCTTCTTTGGAAGGATGACAGGATGTTTTTCTTGTGTCTGCAGCTTGGAATTCTTCAATCTCCCTCCGACGCACATCACTCCTTCACTGTTCACTTTTGGGTCCAGTCTGTAGAGAGGACTGGATTTCTTCACAGGGTTGGCGGTTGTGTGCAGTGTCTGGTATTCATCTGTGTAGGCTTGTCGTTGAACGTGTCTGATGAATGCTTGTTCTGCCTTGTCAAGATCATCTACAGTGGCTTCTTCATGTCACTTGGCACATGTCCATTCTTGTTCTGCAAGTACTCTCTCACTCGCAAGATCCATGCTACAGCCTTCTTTAGCCTGTGCCACGATGAGTAGTGTTGGAGTAGTTTGTCTGTCGCCTTGTTCTCTTCGGAATCTACAGCAAATATGCACTTGCTCCTTGCTTTTCTTAAGGTCCGGATCACTCTGTCTTAGGGGTTCCATAACTTCTCGTTCCCTCGGCCAGTGTTCTTGTGGCATAAGAAGGAACTCTGGTCCTTGTATCCACCTTGTGCTCTTCTTAAGCTCACCGGCTGACATCACTCTTGATATGTCATCAGCAGGGTTTGACTTTGTGTCTACATAATGCCACTGACTTGCTTCTGATGCATTATGTATGGTAGCTATCCTGTTGGCTGCAAATGTGCGAAACCTCCCGTCTGTACTTCTATTGTACTGCAGCACAATATGCTATCTGTCCAGAATGTCAAGTAGATCGGTTCCTGTACATCTAACTCTCTCTTCACTGCAACATCAAACTTAGCAGCAAGGGTCGCTGCTGCAAGCTCAAGACGAGGTATCGTCATTGTTTTTAATGGCGCTAGATGAGACTTGGCCATCACTGCTGGTGTTCTTCATGACAAGGTAAGACACTGCTCCACAAGCCTTCTCTTAGGCATCTGCAAAATTATGCAACTGGTATTCTGTCACTGTGCCAAAGCCGTGTGGCTTCACACATCTGTTAACTTCAAACGCCTTCATCTCTGCTAGCTCTTCTGACCAATCTTGCCATTTTTGTCGCTGCTCTTCTGGTACTGGATCATCCCATTCCAGCTTCATTCTTATCAGCCCCTGGAGTAGCAGTCTCGCTCTCAGGATGAACGGGTTGGCATATCCCAGGGGGTCATAGATTGATGACACAATGCTCAACAGCCCGCGTCTCGTCAGGGGCTTGTCCTTAGGTGACAACTTGTATCCCAAACAGTCTCTTTCAACATCCCAGCTGACGCCCAAGGCTCTGTCAACAGGTAAAGCATCAAGGTTTAGGTCAAGACCCTTCAACTGCTTGGATCGTTCTTCGGTAGGGATGGACTTTAGGACACTTGACTTTAGGACACTTTGTTACTCAGCCACTTGGTCAATTTGAATCCGCCTCTTTGCAGCAGATTTTTCAGCTCGTCCGATAGATTCACAGCTTTCTCTTCACACTCGACAGAAACCAGGCAGTCGTCAACATAGAAATTGCGCTTCACAATCTCTACGGCTTCAGGACTGAACTCATCTTGGTTATCATCATTGAGAGACACCTCCGCTCTTAGCTGCACAATCGAACACGATGCGTAGTTTCTCGGGTTTCAAGGGGTGGAAAACTGGATGGTGAGGGAGATACCAGATAGCCTGATCTTTAGACTGACATTCTTGTTTCTCTTCTTCCTCAGCATACCCCTTCTTGAGTTAGTCCTCGAAGCCTTCTTGGTACTTACGACGGAGACTGTATTCTTTGCCAAGCTTTCTTGCAAGACTCTGCAACCTATGTTCTGCTAACCACCGATTATTTGGCAGGCATGGAGGATGACGCTTTAATGGAACTGGTAAACTGTTAATGTCCCCCATCAACGCTTATTCCACCTTTCCACATCTTCAGAGCTGTTTCGTCGTTCACTGACATGCCTCTTTCATCATGTAGTGTATCTGATGCCTCCAGCTTCCAAAACTTATAAACCTGTTCTTCCAGGTTGGTGTTTCCTTGAATAAAGGTAGAGGTAGCACGAGTGTTCTGCTCTGTTGTGCCGATTTTGTTCACTGGGCCATGTAGCGATCATCCCAATGCCGTTCGAGAGGCATCAGTGCTCTCGGAATATCTTGACCAATCAGGAGTCCAACTTCCTTTTCGCCTGCAAACGGTAAGTCAATACCCTGCAGGTAGAGTAGTCCAGCTATCTCTTCCATCTTGGCCATGTGGGTACTCTGAATGTTGATCTCGTGTTCGGTGAACACATTTGGCAACTCTATACGGTCTGTTGCTGGTCCCGAGTCCACAATCAAGCTCACTCTTGTGATGTCTGTGGAGCTGCCCATGTTGTCAAGTGTTGTCAGGTTGAGCCTTTGTTTGGCCTCTTCAACTCCAAGCTGTCGTGCCAAGTGTTCTGTACAGAATGTATTTGTCGAACCAGCGTCCAACAATGCATGTGTGCGGATAAAGACACTGCCTCCGGCAGCTTTTACTCGAACAGGGACAATGGGCAGCACGGTCCTGCCGGCCCCTGTGACGTTACTGCAACTTGCTTCAGCGGCTTAATCAACGTAGCTATTCTGTACCGGGGCATCTAGTGATGTGTTGGCTTGTGACGCTGCTTCTTCATGCTGCTGCATTGTCTGCGGGATGTGAAGGAATTTTGTATGTTTCCTTCCACGACCAGAAACAGTACATGTCCTGTTGAGCCTGCACGCTGATGTCGAGTGGCCTCTGCGCAGACAGTTGAAGCACAGTCTCTCTTGCTTGGCATAACTCAGCCTGTCTTGTGGTGACTTTGCCTTGAACTGCTGGCAACCAAATAGGGTGTGTTCTCCCTTGCATAGAGAACACTCTTTGGTGACTACTCTCTCTGGTACAGATGTCACTGCAAAGGACCCATTCTGTCTTGGCTGTGTGCGTCTTTTCTGAGGAACATCGGCTTCTCTCCCAAGTAGATGTACCATACACAGGGTTATTCTCCTCTTCTGCTACATCATCTATGTAGGCCACAAGATCCTTCACCTTCGGCATTCGATCTTCCTTCCTTTCGAGGTCTCTGACCTTTCGGACCCATCGATAGCGCAAGTAGTTGGGCAAGCGCTCAACAATGTCTCTTAACAAACTCTAGTGTGCCATCTTATTTTCGCAGCACATAGCCTGGAGGGTTTCGTAGCAGACTTTCAGCTCATCTGCCATTTCTCTGATGGCTTTTCCATCATGGGGTGACACTGTTTGGCCTCAGGTGACTTTCTTCATCCATGCATCAGCAACTTTATATTTGTTTCCAAATCTCTCCTTCAACAAGGTTTTGGCTCGAGCATAACCTTGTGTCGACTCCAGCACAGAGAATACTTGAATCACTCTGCGTGCTTCCCCCTTGCAGTAATGAAGAATTCTTGTTAGCTTGGCAGCGGTGCTTATTGTCGTGCTGTCTACATTCACCTCGAAAGCTCTACAAAATTCCCAAAACTTCAGGGGATCTCCTTCGTAGCACATCAACTCTGCTTTCGGTAACTGCAATGTCTCAATGAGGCTCTGCTGCTGTTGCTTTGATTGTCGCAACATCTCATTGATGGCTTAGGTAGGGGGTTGACGATTGATGATCTTCAATGGAGTATGGGACTGTGTCACCGCTTCTATCATCATTATGCGGTGATGGATCGGGCTGTGATGGGGAGTCTTCATCATGGGGAGATGGTGTTGACTGAGATGGAGAAACTGTGCTTGATTTCTCGTCATCGAACTGGGAATAAACGTTTGCCTCCGCTTCTGCACAGCTGAGCTTGGTTTTCATTTAAAGCTCAGTTGTCCTTTAGTGGAGCCTCAATTCCTATAGCTCAAGCTCTTGTTGCTCTTTAAGAGCTTCAACTTCTGCTTGAAGTGCAGCACTTCTCACCATGGCCTCCATTCTAGCTCTCCTGCTGGATGAGGTGCTTATCGTATGGCTGCACTGACTGGCCGAGTCTTCTGGCTTGACATCATCTTCCTGACTTGGTGACGTAGTACTCATGTTGTCGATTTATGACGTTGTAATTGAATTTAATGTGACAAATGACGACTAAAAAGGACTCCTTTGATGACGATTTAAGAACTTGTAGTAATTCGTGTTTTCTCCCGAAACGAGTTATACTACTGTTTATCAAGCCTCGTGTCTGTTCTTACAAGTCGTGAAAAACGGCACACAAAATGTTGGTTGTTTACAAGTTTTAATGCTCTCAAAACTCACAAGTTCGTCATGCACCTGCTATCCAATGATTAACAAACTTCTGGAACGTCAGTAGGCTTAAGCGCACATCAATTGACTGAATAAAACTTGGTTGAGGAAACTTTCAACGTTGGAATAAGACTTGCACAAAGCAGAATGAAAACGATAAGTCAGAGGTCACCAACATGTCACACTGCGCAAACGCAGCACAGCGAGAGTGAACTCCGGTGCCTATGGCAACCAAAACTTATTAACATACTTATTTGTATGGAACGCCTGTTGGAGCTAAAAGTGCAAACAATTAATTATATACACATGTACATGTCACTACAGTAGCTCCCCTCTAGATTGTAAGAGATAAATGGAACAATCGATACAAGTAGTTGATAATAACAGTCAGTGACAGTCGAATTGTTCATATTTGGCTGGCCAGTGAACTCGTCGACCAGCTCTGGTGGCTCGTTGTGGAGGAGATGGCGTCTCTGGCGATGGGGGTTGTGAAACCGGCAAAAAAAGTTCTCGCGGGGGCGTTCTCGCGAATCTGTCGGGAAGACGACGTGTCTGTGGATGGGGGGTGTGATTCTGGCAAAACAGTCCTTGCGGGCGTGTTCTCGCGAATCTGTTGGGAATGCGCGTTTGTCCAGTCGTCGTCAAGATACGCCACTTTCAGACGATCCTTGGCAACCGCATCCCGTCTGCCGTTGAGGTCCAAAACAAAGTATTTGCTGGCGCACTTGATGATGCAAAATGGTCCATCATACGGAGGTTGTAGGTTTTTTTTCACTGCATCATGCCGAACAAAAACGTGTGTGCACTTGTCTAGGTCAGCTGGAATGTGTGATTGTCGCTGTTTTGGCCTGGGCAGAGTGGGACGAATGTCCTGCATGTGACAACGCAGCCTGTGAACATACACACTGGGGTCGAGCTCAGCATGATCATAGTTAGGCACAATAAGCTCACCAGGCAGCCTGACTGTGGTACCGTACACCATTTCTGCTGGAGAGAAACCGATATCTGACTTGATAGCGGCTCTGATGCCTAACAGGACGAGGGGAAGAGATTCCGTCCAACGTGGGTTAGCATGAGTCTTTAGCGATGCCTTGAGTTGTCTGTGTAGTCGCTCTACCATCCCATTTGCAGCAGGATGATATGATGTAGTGTGAATTCGTTGACAACCAAGCATGTCCATGAGCATTCGAAAAAGTCGTGACTCGAACTGGCGTCCTCTGTCGGTGGTGATGGTAGCTGGTGCACCCAACCGAGAAACCCAGTGGGTAAAGATACATGGGCCACAGTCTCAGCAGTCATGTCAGGAATGGGGATCGCCTCCGGCCAACGTGTACATCTATCCACACACGTAAGCAGGTAGGACTGTCCGGCTGACGGTGGAAGGGGACCGACTAAATCGATGTGTACGTGTGAGAATCGTGCGTCGGGTGTGGAGAACGTACCAAGTGGCGACTTGATGTGGCGATGAATTTTGCATTGTTGGCAGTTGCGACAAGTCTTAGCCCAAGCGCGAACGTCTTTGTTAATACCAGGCCACACGAACCGTGCAGTAAGTAACTGCTGTGTGGTCCTGATACTAGGGTGCGACAGTCCATGCAAAGCGTCAAAAACTGTTCGACGAAACCTGGCTGGGATGAAGGGTCGAGGCGTCCATGTGGAGGTATCGCATAGAATGGTACCCTGCAATGTCTGGAGGGGGACGGCAGTTAGCTGGAGAGAGGTGTCGGGGAGATGTTTCAACTCGTCGTCATCGATCTGTGCTTTAGCGATGGCGTCGAAATTGATAGTCACGTTCGTTGGTAAGGCATTAACCTCCAGACGAGAGAGTGCATCTGCCGCTGCATTATCATGGCCGCTGATGTGTCTAATGTCCGAGGTATACTGGGATATGAGGTCAAGTTGTCGAATCTCTCGAGGAGAATGGCGGTCTAGTTTGGAGTGTAGGGCGTACGTAAGGGGTTTGTGATCAGTGTAAGCGCGGAATGTCCGTCCCTCCAGCATGTGTCGGAAATACTTGATGCCGAGGTATAGAGCTAAAAGCTCTCTACCAAAAGTACTGTAGCGGATTTCCGCTGGTTGGAGGCGCTTGGAGAAAAACGACAGTGGTTGCCAAACACCCTTGACGTGTTGCTGGAGAACACCTCCCACGGCCTTGTCCGATGCGTCGATTAAGAGGCATAACGGTGCGTCAGTCTGTGGGTGGACTAGGAGTGTTGCGTCGGCCAATGCAGCTTTCACACGCTCGAAAGCTAGCTGCTCGTTCGGCCCTAACTGAATCGGCTCGTTTTTCTTCCTCCTGTTCTTGAGCAGGTCGGTCAGGGGCTGGAGCATGTCTGCGCAGTGGGGAACAAAACGCCTGTAGAAATTGATGAGGCCAAGAAATTCCCGCAACTTACTCAGCGATGCCGGTTCCGGGAAATCTCTGATGACTTGCACCTTGTCAGGCAAAGGACAGACTCCATGCTGGTTGACGAGATGACCGAGGAAGGAGAGGGATGGCACGCCGAACTGGCATTTGTGGGGGTTTATGACTATGCCATATTGCGAGAGGCGGTCGAACAGGAGTCGAAGGTGTTCTTGGTGTTCAGCCTCTGATGAGCTCGCTACCAGCAGATCGTCAATGTAGGCGAAGACAAATGGTAAACCACGGGTTACCTCGTCGACGAACCTTTGGAAAGTCTGTGCCGCATTGCGGAGCCCAAAGGGCATGCACACGAACTCGAATAATCCAAACGGTGTAGTGATGGCAGTCTTACGGATGTCTGTTGGTTCCACTGGTATTTGATGGTAGGCGCGTACCAAATCAATCTTGGAGAACAGCGTGCACCCGTGAAGGTTGGAGGAAAAATCCTGCAGGTGTGGCATTGGGTAGCAGTCCGGAATGGTGTTCTTGTTGAGGGCGCGGTAATCACCACACGGACGCCAATCCCCGGGAGTTGACTTAGGCACCATGTGCAACGGAGAGGACCATTCGCTACTGGAAGGGCGAACAATTCCAAGGCTAAGCATGTGGTCAAACTCAGCCTTGGCAAGTGGTAGTCTGTCCGGGGCAAGTCGACGGGGTCTAGCCGCAACCGGGGGGCCATGAGTTTCGATGTGGTGCGTGATGTTGTGCCGTACCTCCGTTTGCTTATACACAGGACGCACTACGTCGGGATACCGGCTAAGGAGCTCGTCGTATTGTGATGAAGCTGCATTCACAAACATGGGGCTCGCGGACGGGGTACCAGACATTATTCCTTGTATGGCAAGACTAGCTATGGAATCGACAAGCCGCTGGTTCTTTACATCGACTAGTAGGTTGAACTGCCGAAGAAAATCAGCTCCAATAATAGGGGTTGGCAAGTCGGCAACAATAAAAACCCAAGGGAATACTCGGCGAAGTCCCAAATCTAAAGTCAGAGACTTCTCGCCGTAAGTTACAATAGGTGAGTGATTGACCGCTAGTAGCTGTATAGAAGTAGGTTGAGCTCGTGACTTGTGACTGCGTGGCAAAACACTCACCTCAGCGCCGGTGTCAACTAGGAAACGAGTGCCTGTGGTCTTGTCAGTTACATGGAAGAGGCGACTTGTTGTATCGCTGCCAGACCGACCTGTCGCCGCTAGTCTTTGGCTTGGCCGTTTTCCTGGTTCCGCTTTGGTTCTGTGCGTCACGAACAAGGACTGATGCATTTTCGTGCATTAGTTCCGTACTTCCAATGATACCAGCATTGGCGGTCGCCGGATGGCTGGTTATCCGCAGAAGGGGTTGGACTACGTTGTCTGGGTCGACTGCGGGAGGAAGAGCGGGGACGGCCTTGTCGCTGCATGCCCTGTAGCTGAAAAGTCAAGGCCTGCACTTGCCGAGTCAGGTCATCAACCTTTGCGTGCAGAGTGAGTACCTCAGGGGAGGCGTGTCGTTGCGGGGGGTGGAGGGGTGGTGAAGAAACCGTGGAAATTTGCGATGCCGGCGTAGAGTGGGCAGACACCTCAACAATTTTGTCAGCCAAATCTGCCAGTGCTCCAATTCCCACAGTGTCCGCTGTGGAGGCCAAAATGGACTGGACGGTGTGGGGAAGTCGCTGTACAAACAACTGCTTCAAAATCCTCTCCTCCAGCTTGTTGTCCCCCAAAAGCTGGTGCATGCGCTGCAACAACTGCGAGGGCTTGCGATCTCCCAATTCCTCTGAAGTAAGCAGCTGGTTTAATCGTTTCTGCTCAGAAGCTGAAGTGCGGCGAATGAGTTCAGATTTCAGCTTATCGTAGCAGTCCGTGGATGGGGGTGTAATCAGGATATCCCGCACCTCTTGTGCGACCTCCGGTTGCAAAGATCCGATAACGTAGGCAAAACGAGTCTCCTGGGTAGTGATATGGCGGATGACAAACTGAGCCTCCACCTGGGTAAACCACAGGATTGGGTCGTTAGGCCAAAATGGAGGGAGTTTGAGGCTTACTGCAGCTTGCATCGGCATGACAGGCGGTTGAAATGGGTTAGGGGGAGGTGGAGTTGGAGGCGGTGTACCCTCTGTCCCATCAGGTTTAACTTCCACAGACAGGGCTTGTGCAGAAGGTCACAATTGTTCAAAACAGGGTCACCAGTGTAGTAATTCGTGTTTTCTCCCGAAATGAGTTCTACTACTGTTATTTAAGCATCGTGTCTGTTCTTACAAGTCGTGAAAAACGGCACACAAAATGTTGGTTGTTTACAAGTTTTAATGCTCTCAAAACTCACAAGTTCGTCATGCACCTGCTATCCAATGATCAACAAACTTCTGGAACGTCAGTAGGCTTAAGCGCACATCAATTGACTGAATAAAACTTGGTTGAGGAAACTTTCAACGTTGGAATAAGACTTGCACAAAGCAGAATGAAAACGATAAGTCAGATGTCACCAACATGTCACACTGCGCAAACGCAGAACAGCGAGAGTGAACTCCGGTGCCTATGGCAACCAAAACTTATTAACATACTTATTTGTATGGAACGCCTGTTGGAGCTAAAAGTACAAACAATTAATTATATACACATGTACATGTCACTACAAACTGTTTTCCCTTGTATTGTACCAATAGCAAATGTGTAGCAAAATGTGTGACGGGTTTGTACACTCAAGAAGTTTGTCGATGCTATGCTAATGCGTATGCGGTATGCGTATGCGGTATGCGGTTCAGCCTGCAATTAATATAAAACCAAAAAATACAGTAAGTCTCTAAAAGTATGTCGAAATGTACCTGCACACACATGAATCAATTACAATATGAACTAAATGAATTAAACTGACTGATTTGATCCCCAAACTCTTGAAATTGTGTCTTGCGTGAAATACCTGTATATGTGTCCTAGTACATCAATGTTTACATTAAAATTAATATTCAACTCTCCAAAATTAACCTTGGTTGACAGTAATCCATATAAACTGATGAAACTGATGTGAGAATCATGTCACGTGCATTCAGTAAACGTGTATAAAACGTGCATCGCTAATTCTACCCAAATTTTATCCCAAAAGTTGACCCAAAAATGACTATATCTAATGACCGTAATTATTACCCCCCCCTTATACACAATTATCTATAACCCTTTATCGAAATCTCTAAACAATTATAAGTACTCACAACATTGGGCGGATCGAATATGATGCAAAAATCAAAGGAACCTTTTGACGGATTTCTACAAACTTAACACAAATATGTGACAATGCTGGCGCGCTGATAGCGCCCTCTGTTGACCAAGAAAATGCCACACCTATGACGTCACGAACGAACTGGAAAACTTTCCTACCGCAACAAGTCCACTAGTCAGTGGTGGTGCACGGTTACTTTTATTTTTTTGAAAATAATTATATTTTGAAAACAAGTGCGAGTGCCCAAGCTCTGGCCGTGTTGCAAGAAGTCTAATTGCATGAACGTTATGCATGAAATCGTTCAAAATTATCCCTGTCAGAGCTTTAAAATGCGACGCCGAAAAGGTGTAAGTGCAAGTAAAGGCATAAACCTATCTGTA